CTAGTGAGAATTTTGTTTGGACCAAAGTTAAATGCTCTCACACCTCGGTGTCCTCTCTCTGTCCCATCACACTGACTTTCTTACCCATTGACAGTTCACCTTCTCAGTCAAGAAAGATCTCTTTCTATACATGTCAACAAATAAATTGAGAAAATTGCTTTCAGGCTGTCATTCATGTGGTACTGGGAAGGTAAGACTGTAATACTGGGAAGGAGAGACTGATCCTAGAGTAGCAGTAGCAGACACCAACTGCAAATCTCAGGAAAAGAGCTATTAAGCAACTAGGGCATGTGTTGATAATTAGTTAATGCTTGTTACGTTTGCTCTGGGCTTTTAATTTCTGTTGTCTGGCTATGAATTTTCTGCACTATCACTGCTTGTTTACAGTACAGCACCTAACTTAAGCAATTAATCAGTTTTAAGAGATTGTGCTAATGTCCCTCTGACATCCAAAGAGCGCAGTTAAGTGAGTCTGCCTCTAAATACTTCACAAGACCTGAAAGGGGAAGGAAACAGAATGAATCTCCTTCTGTGCATCTGCAGCCTGCAGTGTATATGAGAGTCAGCGTTAGAAATGACTTTCAAGTTGACTTATAAACAACTTTAGAATGACCAGCTTTAAAAAAAAAAAAATTAAAAATGTATATAAAAATACAATCTGTACAACGTTAGGGCCAAATTCCATAAAATACCAAATAAATCCATTATGTAGTGAGTGCCCTTCTCTGGACCTGTACAACATAGATTTTCTGCACACAAGACCATTTCTGTCTCGTCAGAATATCCCGAATGAACTTGCACTGTGTGACACTGCCTTGGCTTTTGAGAATTACACTGTTACTGTCAGCCCCAGGCCTATCTATCCAAGAAAGCAATGTCAATATAATAAAGCATAAATGACATAACTGTGAATTACAAAAAGAATAATTCATAGGTTATTTTCAATTAGAGAGAATAATTTATAGGTGCCTGATTTGCAAAGAGAATAATTTATGAGTAACCTGAATTGCATAGAAAGCGCATTACAGGTTACTATAAGAAAGGGAGTATACCGACTGCTCAGCTGTCACATGCTGAGACTGGGGTTTGGGTGCATTTCTTGTGAAAACACCCACTAAGAAAAAAAATTCACCAAATTCCATAGTAAAAAGACGTGTGTAATATGCCCAATGTGATCTGAAACCCCTATATGTTACCGAAAGCTAGATGTACGGCCCGTGTCGTCTCTGGAGCTCCTGCCTCACATCATGCACCACAAGCAGAAAGGCCACAACTGGTTTCCTACAACAAAACCATCGGAGAAGTCTGTCCCCAACAGTGGACAAGGAGCCGAGTGCCAAAACCTTTGGGTTGTGTGTGTCCCCACTGCGCTGCATGGATGTGGTGATGAATAATATGAAAGATTTGATTAATAGAAAAGAGAGGGAGGTCTCCATAAACTGGATTAGGATTCCCAGCACAGGCTGGCTCCTTCCCTGTGCTGTTAGGGACCCTGCGGGTGCCAGGAGGGCACAGGCTCGTGTTTCTTACTGCGCAGACGGGCATCGCTCCTTCATATGATCCAATATGAGCGCTCCTGGTTTTGGAAAAATTACACTGGCAAGTGGCTGCAAGGTGGAATGGCAAAACACAGGTTGGGAATAGGATGCCTTTTTCCAAAGGTAGAAGTAGAAGATGGCGCATCAGTGGACATGGTGAGTGTCTCCACTTGCGGCAGATCTTTAAATTATTGTTTTGCTTAAAGCATTTCCTCCAATGCAAGCACAAGTTACTGGCCTTTTAAATAAAAATAGTTACTTTATCCTCCTCAGGACTTGCTAGTCAAGACCTACAGTTTGTCATTAACTAAGGGGCCAAATTAGCTATTTTTTTTTCTTTGAAGACACGTCTTTTTCCTATAGACCTGAAGGGCAGAAGGATGCATCGGTGCTTCCACTTCTTCATCGCTGCCTTGGCATCTTAAAAAAAAAGGGGGGG